TTAAATATCATGTTCCTCGCACTTAAACCATAAGATCCAGTGCAACAGCAATATCGAAAATAGTTTTAAAACGAGCATATCTTTAGAATTTCCGATACAGAGACTCACGCGCTGGAGATAAAAATGTTTTTTCTGCACAACGTTGCCATTGCTTGTTTTGAAATCCTTGAGTTTGTTAATCAAAAATTCGTCAAAGTTTTAAAAAATAGGAAATCGATCATAAAACAAATTTCAAATTTCAAATTTGGTCTTCCACATGCTCATATTCGTTGGAGGATTACGTTATTCAAAATTCGATGACTCTATGTACCGTTATTTATGACAATGTGAGAAATATACATACATTTACGCAGATTTTCATTATTTAATTTCTTCAAATATAATGCAGGACTCTAACATTTTATGGCAACAGTTTGAAAAGTGAACCGACATTTATCCGTCCGACGCAAAATGCCAAAACGAAACTAATAGTCCTTCGGGATTCAAATCCCTTTGGACTAAAAAAAAAACATTTTTTATCTCCAGTGCGCGAGACTATCAGAAATTTTAAAAATATGCTGTTATTAGATATTTTGTGATTTTGCTGTTAAATTGGATTGTATGTGGCTTAAACGCCAAGAACGTGATATTTAATAAGGAAACACACAAAATGTTAATAATCAAAAGACAAAAAAAAAAAAAAAAAAAAAAAAATGTTTGTAAAGCCATCTTAGTAAGAAAACTGACCATTTATATTATGAACTGAAAAAAGGCTGAAAAAAAAAAAAAAATGAAAGAAAGAAAGAAAGACAAGTATCTGCAAACACTTAACGCTGCATCGGGAATTTTAAACGTATAGTTCTCTGCTGCTTTTAAAATTTGTGTAATCTTGCTGTTGAATTGTATATGGCGTAAGTTCGAAGAAATTGATACTTAATAATAAAGCTAAAAAGACAAAAAAAAGGGGTTAGTAAGAGTAAATGTAACCGCAGACTTGTAGATGGGCTCAATGAGAGCATGAAAAGAAACCTCAACAAACCCTTTTGAGCGATCGTTAAAATCTGAAACCTTTCAGAATGTTTTTTAATTCTGATTTGCAACTTTATTCCTTTCTAATCGTGACAGACTGATAATATTAACCATTTATCAGTGAAAAAATTCATGTGTTCATAATTCACTAGACTTATAAACATAGCAGATGTTTTTTAATCAGAGAATGCTACTAAATGTTGTGCTTTGAACTAATAAGGAAATGCAAACATCATTATGTATTTCATAATTACATTAATTATCTGCATTACTCAAATTGTAACATATAAGTATATCGCATTGCAATACTGAAAATAAGTATTGTAAAACATTTCAGTTCTATCAGCGTGATGCTTTTTACAAACCGATAATAATGTTAACAGATGATACGATTAATCTATATATAGAAATAGTATTGAGAAAAATGCATAAAACTGAATGTATATTGAGGCTCTTGGAAATTTCACAAAGTATGTGAAATCACATATTGCGATTTCGATATACACTCTTTTGCGAAAAAACTTGAAGCACCAAGAAAGACTTTTGCGATCGAGACGAAATTTGGTATGCAAAAACATCTTGATCGAACATGCAAATGATCAAAGTTTCAAGGCAAATGAACAGGAATTGCGATAATAGCGCGCATTTATAGTGCGCAATTCGCAAAGTATAAAACCAGTAGCAGAGGTCGAAAATTTATCTTTTTTTGTTGCTGCCATTGTAATTCCGTAAAAAAACAACTAAAGATGTCACTAAGACGATATCGAAGACCTTACAGACAACTAAGCGACTTCGAACGTCGCATTTGAGGGTTACGTGAAGCTGGGTGGTCATACCGAACAATAGGCCGCCACCTGCAGCGTACAGACACTGCTGTGCAAAGATGTTGGCAGTAATGGTTGCTACAAGGAAATTGCCGACGAAATAAAGTCTCTGGAAGGCCAAGGAGCACAAATGCGAGGCAAGATAGGATGATTGTTCGCCAGGCCCGAACCGCCCCAACGGTATCATTGTCGAATAGTCAACGCTTTACAGCCACTTCTATACCACCCGTGGTACCGTCCACCATCTCACAGCGCTTGTCTGAGGCGGGGTTACGCTCACAGAGGTCTTTAAGACGTTTTCATTTGATCCCACAACATCGGCGGAGTCGTCTGGAGTGGTGTCGCAGCCGATCATCATGGCTGGCGTCAGACTGGCATCGTATAGTGTTCAGTGATGAATCCCGCTTCACTCTTGAAGCAGATGACTACCGTGTTCGTGTCTGGAGAGGACGGGGCGACCAGCGGTCCCAATCAGCCTTTGTTTTACAAAGGCATACAGCCATAACCCCTGTGTGATGGTGTGGGGCGCTATTTCTTATGACAGCAGGTGATCTTTAGTCATCCTCCGTACATCTTTAACAGCTCAATGATATGTTGATACCATCGTGCAGCCGGTTGCGTAACCCTTCATGCACGTCATCCTGGGTCCATCTTCCAACAAGATAATTCCAGGCCACATACCGTTGGCATATCTCTGGACTGTCTCCGTGCGGTTGATACTATTCCTTGGCCAGAAAGGTCACCAGATCTTTCACCAATCGAAATTGTCTGGGACATGGTAGGCCGCTAGATTCGGGCACCATAAAATATTGCAGATCTGGAGCCTGACAGAATGTGTCTCAGGATGACATTAGGAACCTCTACCACTCCTTGCCTCGACGAATTCAAGCATGCATTGCCGCCAGGGGCGGTTCGACCAACTACTAATTTGAACACTCAATGGGTGATTATGAGCCGTGAACAGGTACTATGACCTTGATTTTTTAATCATTTTATGATCTGTGTATGAGCTATACACATATTCAGTTTCATCAAAAACAACCATTTCCTTCATGGTGCTTCGATTTTTTTGCAAAAGAGAATTATTAAGAAATCATGAAAGAGAATATTTAGAATTGAAAGACCGTGAGAATTTTTAAAGCAGAATATTGAAACAGTAAAATGACTTTCTGAGAACATCAGAATTTATGAAAAAGGATGGATTATTAGGATTAGGATTGTTCAATTATGGCAAAACACACGAGGGCTATCTGCCTAAATTGAGGGATGCCTTCGTGGATGACTTTCTAAGGGGAACTGGCTCGTATACACTTTACACATGGGGAAAACCAGAAAAACACCCATGCAACCAGCCCGTTCGCGGAATTCGAACCTCGGACTGAACTACCAGTGTTCAGCGTCTTTACAGCTCGGCCGCTGGTGGGCCCAAATTATCTAAACAAATTATTCATGTAGCATGTGAGTTCATAATTCACGATGTTGAATTCATGGAATACTTAGAATTCATGAAACGTGATACTGAGACATCATAAAACAGAATATTGAAAACTAATGAATATCAAGAATGAAACAGAACTGAGAGTTTATGGCACACAATATTCAGAATTCGTGGAAAAATTAGAATCAATGAAACACAGTAGTTATGATTTAAAGAAAATTATAATACTAATTTGTTTCTTTGTTTGTTTAATTAATTACCCCTGAGCACACAAGGGTTATCTACCTGAAAGGAGAAATGCTTTCGTTGAAAACATTCTAAGAGAAAGGCGTGTTAACATTACACACGAGATAAAACAAACAAATATCCGTGAATCTAACCTCGCAGGCATTGAAACTGTATCCATTAGGGAATTTTTCCCTCTCGATCACTGAGAATTCTTCAAGTAGAATGTCAATAATTTCGTCAAATGTGAGAAATCATAAAACAAAACATACAAAATTCGTAAGATAAAATTTTTGAATTCATGAAATATTGAAAATTTTTAATAAAATTCATGAATATTTTGAATCTGTAAAATGGTCAGAATGCATAAAATAAAATTGAAAAAATATACGGGATATTAAGATATGGTGAAATAATAAAGTCTACACATATACTAAGAAATCATAGAACTCAATGGCTAAGGATATATGATATAAAATGAACCAAAGAGGCAAATGGCGGCATTTTAAGATTCCCTAAACTACAATACTGAGATTTCGTAGAACATAAGAATTCACATAACAGAATGTTGAGTATTAAGGGAATTTTGAAAGTTCGTGAAATGTAAAAATTGATGAAAAAGCGTACAGAGAGTTCATGAAAGAAAATACTGAGAATTTTAATGAGCGTAGGTAATCCATGGAACATCATATGTAAGAGTTAATAAAATGTTAAAAAATTATCAAAACTGAACATTGGGAATTATAGAGTGCCGATTGTAAATCACAATATTGTGAATTTGTAAAACAAAATATTGAAAATTTACAAAAAGTTCAGATCTCATGAAACGTAATATTAATGCAAAGAGTAGAATCCTGTGAATTCATGAAACAAAATATTAAGATTTCATGGAATCGAGAATCTTTCAGAACTCATGAATTGTGAGAATATATAAAATAAGCAATGAATTAGGGAAAGCTAAAAGGAAATCCAATTTTTTTTTTTTTTTTTTTTTTTTTTTTTCCATTTCACAGTAGCATAGCGATATAAAGTATCAGAAATTACTGTCGCATTAACGTAGACAAAAATAATATTCTTTAATGCATAACTTTGAAAAATACTTTTTCTGTAGACTTTTTCTTACTTCCTTTAATTTCTATTCATGCGTTTAGAATCAAAAACAGGTATCCCATTATAAAAAGGAAGAAATTTAAATCGAGAGAAATTACTTTTTCCTTGTTGAGATGAAATGATATGATAAGTCTCAAAATTCGGTATTTCTTCTATGGAATAAAAACTATAAAATATATTCATGAATAAATACGAATATTCATTCTCATGAACCCGTGCAATAGAAAAATCTTAATAATTCAAAGTTTGAAAAGAGGCTGGCAATCCTGCCAAAAGCGCCAAACTACATTTCTCGCACGCGTTTTCGGCGCGCTGGTGCGAGGCTAGGTCACGGTCGCAGTGAACGGTTGAAGCAGAGCCGCTACAAAAACTGTCTGCTCCAAGTTACCATCCACCTTTTTCCTATCGAACGTTGTCGGAGGTAGACAGACGTTCGTGATCTCTTCGCTTGGAGCACTCGCTTCTCTTCATATCGGGGGAAATTTATCGCTTATTTTATAAGAAAATGAACGCTTTACTAATGCTGTTTGCTATGGCTGCCTTTGGTAAGTGGAAATTCCTGACAATTTACAGAAGAAAAATTTTACTTACGATATTATAAAAATATTTCGGGGTCGTAATTAAAACAAACTCCTTAATAAATATAAATGCAGAATACCTAACTAATCTATTTTAAAAGATGAAGCAATCAGTAATGATTAAAATATTTTAATACTAAATGTATCTAATGTTAATAATTAATACGTTGTTTAATGCATTTTAAGACTCATATTTATTTTTTAAATAAATGGAATAATAATTGATTAATTTTAACACTTTATAGACTATTCATATTCTATATGTTGATTGATATATTTATATGAAAACATACGACGTAACTTTCTTTTTACTTTGAACTATTACAAAATCATTTTCAAAAGAAAAGAAATTTTTATGTATCTTCAAAACTCTAGCAGCTAATTCATAAACATCGGATCTTGACATCTCTTCGTATGTCCAAAAATTTTCCTTCATAGAACCCCACTATATGGATGTTCTTTCATTTAGTTGTTAAATTTTTTTTTCTAACATGCTGTTAAAAAAGTGCTTTTAAAATGAATCTTCACATCAAGGAAAGGAAGAAATTCCGAGAGTGAAAATCTGACGTCTAAGGAGATCTTTGTTATAAATTTGCTCCGATAATTATTTTTCTGCAAAGAAAATTTGTTTTTTGTTGTTCAGTCATTCTTTGAAGTTACGCCAGCAGATATCGGCTAAATAAAATCAAAGAAAAAATTTCTCCATTTAAATATCTTTCTTTGCGGAAATAGTATTTTAAAGAAAATATGTTGAGAGCAGTTAGAAAATCGTCGTTTTGCATGTTATCGTTTGTTAGCTTCTCCGGCAGTGGCTGAAGAAATTCATCCCTAAAACTTTGTAGACACCTTTTATATATTCTAAACCTGTTTTATGACTTATTGCAGTGGTGTGAAACTGAAATAGCCAGCAGGCCGAATGCTGTGCTGTATCTGAAAAAAGCTGACAAGCCAGAAATTTTTTTTAACGAAATAAAAAGTGTGTTAAATAGATTTTAAGTTTCGTTTACTAAATATTTAACAAAACTTCCATTAACAATATCGCAAACGGAAAAAAAAATCTCATTTATGTTTATTTTCAATCTGAAGTTTCATATTTGTATGACATTTTTGTTAGTTACACTTTTGTAAGTAAAATATATCGATAGCCGAATATTAAATTCTGAGACTGGCGTTTATTTCACGTAACTCTAACGCGTTTAGTTAATCATTAAGCATTTTAATTTAAACTAAAACTAAATAAATTAAGAAAACTTTATAAGTTTTCAAAGAAACTTTACAAGTGTAACAAACTTTGAGAATAAATAGAGACAATCTCTTTTTTTAATTAATTTTTCCTACACATAAATAAAAATGCGTCTGCTTGTTTGGAAATAATTATAAACTTATTTTCTCTGACTGCAGCTTAACACTTGATGGCATTTCGACTTCGATAAAAGTTGTAACATATGAGAGAAATTACTGGAAATTACCTTTATCACAAATTATACATGTTCATGGGTCAATCGAGTTCGTTTCTTATTAATTGTCAGCTGTTAAAATACGCTATTCACATATAAATCTATTTATATGTGAATAGCATTACGCTATTATCATATAAATCAATTCCCAGTGCTTAGTGCGAGAATTCGTAACCTATTTAGTCTTTGAAAGTGCGAATAAAAGTTAATCACACAAGTTAATATCACATTGGTAAATTAGTTAACTCCATTTATAGATCTTCTGGTGGAATATTCATGCTCTTTTGTAATGGCGATGAAAATAATGTAAATTGAACCTTCAAATAACTACAATCTTGAAATCTTTGCAGCAACATATTTGCACCAATTACATAACTGAAAAGAATTCGCGGGCCGCATTGAATCGCCAGCTTGACACCACTGACTTAATGTATTAAATATTAGTTTTCGAATTAATCTTCTATCTTTAGCCGAAGCGAATTTTAGGAAATTTTTCTATTTTATAAAAATAGGTTTAAATGTTTGTTTAGATTTTGTAATTTTAAGTGGAAAAGATTTAGTGGAAATCCTGCTAATATCACTTATAATTTAAGCAGAATTTTTCTGCAAACAAAAATTAGAACTAGCTGATAACATTCTTATAAATTATAAAAGTAACAGTATAACAAACAGTTATTAAAATTTAAAAATATGTATTTATTTTCTTTTGCTTTTATTCTAAGATATAAGCCCACTAGCGGCCGAGCGGTAAAGCCGCTGAACACTGGCGGTTTGGTCCGAGGTTCGAATCCCGCGAACGGGCTGGCTGCATGGGCGTTTTCGTGGTTTTACCCATGTGTAACGTGTATACGAGCCAGTTCCCCTTAGAAAGTCATCCCTTCCCTTAGGCAGATAACCCTAGTGTGCTTTACCGTAATGTCAAGAAACCAAACCAAATCAAACCGTGTTCTAAGATATAAAATAAATAGAATTTAACGTTCTAATTCCTTTGGAAATATTCCACTTCCAGCCAAGAATGTCCAACCAGTGACGCGAGTGATTAAAGACCGCTCAATACTGCATGTTCGGCACCAGCTGGAATACACAAGCAAACAGCTTTCCTGTGTGGTTGGTTTTCAGAGTTTTCCTCATATGTAGCGGGCCCACCAGCGGCCGAGCGGTAAAGTCGCTGAACACTGGTAGTTCGGTCCGAGGTTCGAATCCCGCGAACGGGCTGGCTGCATGGGCGTTTTCGTGGTTTTCCCCATGTGTAACGTGTATACGAGCCAGTTTCCCTTAGAAAGTCCTCCACGAAGGGATCCCTCCCCTTAGGCAGATAGCCCTAGTGTGCTTTGCCATAATTAAATACACCACCACACCACACCTCATATGTAGCATAATTTCCAGTTGAAAGTCCTCCAGGAAGGAATCCCCCCCTTCTGCGGAGAACTCTCGTGTCCTTTGCCGTATACAAGTAACCTAAACGAACCTCAGTCTAATAATTCACTTCCCGAATGTCGTCATTTTAATTCATTCCCAAACATTTCTTGCTTGGAATTAAAAATAGCGAGTTTTTCAAATTCGAAATTGTAATGTGTGTAACATATTACCTTTTTGTAAAAAAAAACTATTTTATATTACTTTTTGGTAAAAATCTTTTTTTCGGTCTTTGCTGAAAGCTTCGTCATTCAAATAAATGTTTCTGGTAAATGGTGCTGCCATCTGTAAAATAAAAAACGAAATAATTCATATCGTTGAAAAGCAAGCGATTTCAAAATTTACAGCAGAATAACATGATATTAGAAAAGAATTTTTAGAAACCAAAACCTAAATTATTATGTATTTTATTAAACGAAAGACATTTCAAAAGTTACCCTCCCCCCCAACTATTTTGCGACGCTTAAGATCCAGTATGTATTTTCACTAGCACAATAGGCAATATGCTGAGACTTTCTGGTAAAATATTTGTCTTTTTAGATATGATATTATTTTTTATGTTGTTTCATTGCAAAGAAATCTGAGACCAAATTAAAAGAATTAAGTCACTTAATAATACCTATTCTTTATTTTAAATTCAAGATTTTTGACAGCGAATTTAGGAATCAGCTAAAACAAGTAGAAGTTTTGAAATTTCATTTTTGAAATTAATGTATCAGAATAAAATAATATTCTTGACTAAATTTTGTAACTTTCTAATTTAATTTCGACGAAAATGTTTATTAAGCATGTCTCCGGAAGTTTTTCACTTAAAATATTTTATTAAATGCAATATTTACTTTGCTTGAACCGTACAAAAAATTAAGAATCAATTCTTAAACATTTAGAAGTTTAAAGAAGAGAATCGTCCAGACAACTGTATCGAGCCATTTTGCATGAAATTTTGGCATTTTATCATAAGAAAATTTAAGTATAATGCATAATTATCATTTAGGGAGTTTGGATTTAGGATAAGTGATATATTTCGAAGTATATGCTCAGAATTTATAATTAGGCAATTGTATTTGGAATTATATGTCTGGCATCAATATTTAGAGAATTGCGTCTAAAAATATATACCTAAAAATTAGTATTTAAGTAATTGTATTTAGAAGTACATATATGTCTATGATCGACATTTAAGAAACTGGGTTTGAAAATATACATCTAGGATCAATATTTAGAGAAATATTTGGAAAAAAGGATTAATATTTAATATTTCACCACATATATCTAGGATCTATATTTAAGGAATTATATCTGGCAGTATATGTCTAGGATCAATATTTAAGTCATATTTGAAAGTATATGGCCAGAATTAATATTTAGGAACCGTATTTTGGAAATATATATCTAAACTCAATGTTTAAGAATTACCGCCCAGCCGAGATGGGATAGTTGTTAGCGACGCTGATTGCCGTACCGAAGGACCCGAAGAAGGCATGGATGTTAGTAAGTGTATAGTATCCGTGCGGCATGAGGTCACTCTAAATAGGCAAAAATCATATGTCTCTCGAGAGGTTGATGGTACCGAAGGATGGAACGGGTGCTCTCCTTAAAAATTTAGGGCGGAAATGAGTAAAGTGGTGCTGTCACTTGTATGGTATGCAAGGCTCTTACCAACGACAGGCTCAATCTTGCCTCCTTACCACGATGAATTTCGTGGGCTTCCTCCGATATCTAACAAGCGAGATTAGTCACAACAACAACATATTTAAGGAATTTTTATCTTTAGAACTGTATCTGGAAATAATTCTAGAAATAATGTTTCAGGGACTTTATTTCGAAATATATGTTTACGATCAATATTTAAATAATTACATGTCTTATATAAATAATTATCATAGAACATATAAGTCTAGAATCAGTATAAAATTAAGTCTTTAGTCATATTCTATGAACATCTTGTGCGGGAAGAACCCTTGAAAATGCATTATGCGTGCAAAATTCAAATCAGTACCGACTAATCCTTCAAAAGCAACTAAGGATGTTGTCCACTGTCATGAATAATTTATCATCCTTAGATTGTGATTAGCTATTATTTTTATGTTACCA